AAAGAACAATACGCTGTATATTTAAACCGTGGCCTAAATTGAATTCACAGCACAGATTGGTTGGAGGGTTTGCATTAATTTTCAATAGGCATGGTGCTTTGAAGTCGTGCCAGCAATAAATGCACACACGAACATGTTGGATTACCATTCTGTATTAATGCATTGGAGAGGGTTGAGCATTTTATTTCAGCCACAGGCTACGCTAGAATATTCTGTCCTGATAGTCATTAGTGGTCACCTCAGCAGTGGAGCTCCTCACTGGTGACTGATAGCTTTACACCAAAATTAGTGCCAGTAAGTGTGTAAGTTTAAACATGGGAAAACCCGCCAAAAATTTGTAATCAACTGCTTTCCCATTGCCAGTAGAAGTCAACAGTTGAAAGCAGCATGAGGGTCAGCCAGTGAAAATGTTACAGTGCTTACACTGTTTCTATCTCACTCACTTATTTATTCAGTCTCTCGTAAACCGGCTGCAAGCAAATTTGAAATGATGTTTGAGCAGTACGTGGATGGAGAGTATTTTGTGGTGGCATTTCATTTCACTCGTGATTCGATACTCTTAGACAGCAGAAACAACTAGACACCATTTTTCTATGAGATACAGCAATCTGCAATTTATGATGAATGTTGGCCACTGGTGCAATATACATTGTGTGTGTGTGTGTGTGTGTGTGTGTGTGTGTGTGTGTGTGTGTGTGTGTGTGTACTTGTACATGCTACATTGTGAGGACCAAAGTACGTATTTCAGCAACAAAGTGAGGACGCTTTATGAAAGTGAGGCCATTTTGGCTGGTCCTCACTTCTTCAAAGGCCTGTTTGAGGGTTAAGACTTGTAAAATTCATGACTGCATCTTGCACTGTTGTCACATTATTGCATTGACAATTGTCAACGGACAGACATATATTATTATTTCTTTATTATATTTGTTAATGTCTCTGTTAATGCCATCAATATTTTTGACAGTAAAACTGGTTGTGAGGCCACAGAAACTGTGCTATATATTTTACTAAATAAAACAAGACTTATGTAAATCATGTTTGTATGATATAGGGCTGGGTGATATGGACAAAAATTCATATCTCGATATTTTCAGGCTTAATGGCGATACATGATGCGTATCTCGGTATTTTCTATGAAATGAGCTACGTTAAGTTTGGATGTCACATGTCACAAGCACCTTTATAGAAACAGACTGTGATCAAAATAAAATGCAAAGGCTTTTTTTCCCCCCCCTGTTTGAAAATGTACAGCTGCACAACACGCAAATTAAAAATGATATAAATAGCAGGGTTAATGTTAACTTTTTGTATTTAATGAAGGCTTGATCAAGGAGAATCACAGCTGAACATACAACACAATTTATGTCGTCCAGAGATTCTGAGGATGTCCTTACCAAGTCCTTAGATTTAACCCAAACAGTATTCCCTTGTGAGCTACTCCACATTCCCAAATAAGGTTATTCTGTACCGATGTATGGCTTTGTGAGATTTCTATTGGCTACTGACTTTAAACGACAAACATGGCTCACTCTAAATTACTTTGACTGTCTCTTACAAAATGCATATATCTCACAAGAGACTCTCGTCTGTTGAGGCTGGGGCACAGGGCAATCTCCCTTGCTTTTGACCTTGGATGCAATGAAGCCAGCCAGGCACCCTTATCTGGACATCTGTACTCCCCAAAGATGGAGAGCATTCATAACAAAGATCAAGTAGTTTTGAAAAGTTTGAGATTGAAATTAGACATCTACATTTTAATGACATATTCCTTATACTTCGAACATGTGTCTACAATTAAAAGCTTAAAATATTGTTCCTAATCAGTTTGTTTCTTCTCTTCTTCCCTCTATATTCCCTCATGTGCATAGTCTGTTTATATTTCTCTGTTCTTAACAGATCTATATAGTAAGTAAACAAGGCCAAAACATCCTTTATTCATGAAAACCCTGTCCGCGTGCTGTGCAGCTGCCAGTGTACTGCATGGCTCTGAACTGTTGTCCTCAGCAGCCCTGACGGAAGGACTTTATTGTCGGCAGGAACACTCATGTACCTGGTTCAGCAGCTGTTAATCGGGCGCAGTTCAAAGGCTGGGGGCCTGAAGTGGAACCAGCTGTCCAGAGTGAAGATATTTGCACTGTAAATGCACTGAAATTCATTGATTTGTACCAACGTCTTTAAAAAGGTCTGTGGCAGGAAAGGAAAGGGACTCTGACTAATGACTTCAGAATCTCTAAGGAGCAGCTTCTCTGCTAAGATAGAGGGCTGCACCGAAGCTCATATTTAGTTAGTAAAGCTGAAATCATCAGCACAAATACGTGACTCATGTCAGGGACTTTCAGTCAGGATTATCCAGCGGTATAAACTCTAAACAACTTTCTCACATTATATATTCACATTATTTTCTGACTCATGTTACACCAAATCCTTTTGGATATCACTCCTCAAAGTCAGTCTTGTGTTGGCAATGGCTGTGAAAACATCAGGGATTGTTTATCTATGCTGTGTATTTTTTAGCAGTTGCAACCAACTGGTATCTTGATCAATCTTTCTGCATGACATGGAGGTTGGATTAAGATGTTTCCGTATGGCCAAAATATGTATCTTAAATCCGAATCAGAATCAGAATCAGAAATACTTTATTGATCCCCGAGGGGAAATTATTTATGTTACAGGTGCTCCTTGCAAGAGAGGAAAGATACGTAAAAATATAAGAAATTTAAATAGTATTAACAAATATATAGTTAAATAAACAGGAATTATTAACAAACATAAACGTGTATATATATATATATATATGTATATATATATTGTAAACTGAACAAGATTATTTACACAAACAGAATATATACAGTCAGGGTGAATGGGGTTATTGCACAAGTTAAATTAAATTATTGCAGTGTGTGAAAAAGTCTCAGGGCCACTCAGAGGGAGGAGTTGTACAGTTTGATGGCCACAGGCAGGAATGATTTCCTGTGGCGCTCAGTGGTACATCTTGGAGGTATGAGTCTCCCACTGAAAGTACTCTTGTGCCTGACCAGCACATGGTGGAGTGGGTGTGAGACATTGTCCAAGATAGTTGGTAGCTTAGACAGCATCCTCCTCTCTGACACCACCATCAGAGAGTCACACTCCGTTCCGTTCCCTTTTTTTTTTTTTTTTTTTAAATAAGACCTTGCAGTCTAGTAGATGTGCAGGAAATAAGACATGAACAGCCCAATTGTATCCATTTACTTCTGTTATTATAACTTTGATGCCTCGAATTTGGCACAAATGTCATCTTGTGCCAAATCTGATGAATTGATTGGTTCTTGGTGGTCATAGCTCAAAGGTCAAAGTCACTGTGACCTTCTCTGTCTCATTCTTGTGAGTCAGATTTCTCAAGAACACCTTGAGGGAATTTTTCAACTTTGGCACAAACATTGACTTGTACTTGAGGATGAAGTGTTTAGATTTTGGTGGTCAAAGGTCAAGGTTGCTGTGACCTTGCATCCATCTCATTCTCGTGAATATAATATCTCAAGAACCGTTAGAGGGAATCTCTTTAAATTTGGCACTAACATTCACTTGGACACTAAACTGATTGGATTTCAGTGGTCAAAGGTCAAGATCAGTGTGACCTTGCATCTGTCTCATTCTCCTGAACATGATATTTTAAGGACTGAAGAATAAACTAATTGGAATTTTGTGATCGAAGGTCAAGGTCACATTGACCTTGACCTTCGACCACATTTGACCCTGTGACAAAATGTGTTTTTGGCCTTAAGAATATATGAATTCAAGATGAATTCATATGCTCACTATGACAGAACTTCACACCAATGTCTAATAGGATAAAATGATTGAGTGATGACATTTTATATCTAAAATATCAAAGGTCAACTTTGCTGTGACATCATAATAACCCACATAAGACCATTTTTCTGCCCATAATTCAACTTCATATCTCAGGAACAGAAGGGGAGACATTTGGTCAGATACTGAATTGATGACACTTATCTTGGGTGTCCACCTTGAAACTGTGCTGACTGTATAGATCCTCTGTGCTGTAAGGGGGACACTCTCAAAATACCGTACACCTAAACTGATATTGATTTTTTTTAGATGTAATATGCTAGGCACCTTTCATAGTGTTAATGATGGGAAGGAATATTAGAAGTAATTATATTGCCAGGAGTGACTTTGGGTTTATTTCACATTGGCAAAACTCCAGAGTGCAGATTGGTTGGAGGAGGGGCAGTACAACCAGATGGGTGTGCTGCGAAAAGGCTTCCCAGTGGAACTTAAGATTTTTTGTTAGCTCCCCAGAAAAACATAATCTCAAATGAGCCAGCTTTAACATTTCAACACCTTGTTTTATTAATTAAAGTTAGCAGTGATTACAGTGCCAAAAAATGTAAACTTTTTTACCTTCCAACTAACTTATAGGTACTTCAAAAATAAAAGTCTATCATCATCAGTTCACACTTGTTATGGCTCAGCACCAACAATAGCCATGGTTGAAGGTATTGTGTTTTTAGGTTGTCCAACCGTCCCATTCTAATCAATGCTATATCTCAAGACCACCGAGAGGGAGTATCTTCAATTTTGGTGTAAACGTTCACTTTGACTCAACAAAGGAATTATTACATTTTGGTGGTGCTAAGTCAAAGGTCACTGTTACCTCGTCTGTCTAATTCTTATGAACACATTATCTCAAGAACACCTGGAGGGACTTTTTTTAAAATCTGGCACAAATGTCCACTTGAACTCAACTGTGACCTGATTAGATTTTGGTGGTCAAAGTCACTTTGACCTTGCATCCATCTCGTTCTCATGAACACAATATCTCAAGACCACCTTGAGGAAATTTCTTCAAATTTGGCACAAACATCCACTATGAATTGATTAAATATCAGTGGTCAAAGGTCAAGATCACTGTGGCCTGGTTCATGAACCATGAACCATATTTCATGTGAATGGGGTGAAATATGATCCATATTTCTCTCTCCTTCTCCCTTCAGGGTCATCAGTCATCCAATCAGCTGACCTGTTCTCTAACACCTCCTGCAACATTACCTCCAATGATTCAACATTCTGCTCCTCTGTGGATGATGGAGCGGGGGCAGGAAGTCCATATAAAGCTCTGGAGATGTTTTTTATTGCCTTGGTGACAGGATCCCTGAGCTTTGTGACTGTCACAGGAAACATTTTAGTCATGCTGTCCATCAAAGTAAACCGCCACCTACAAACTGTCAATAACTACTTCTTATTTTCATTAGCATGCGCTGACTTGATCATTGGTGTTTTCAGCATGAATTTGTACACAGTCTACATCATTGTCGGCTACTGGCCACTTGGGCCGGTGGTCTGTGACTTGTGGTTAGCCTTAGATTATGTTGTCTCAAACGCCTCAGTGATGAATTTATTGATCATCAGCTTCGATCGCTATTTCTGCGTGACCAAACCCCTTACATATCCGACAAGAAGGACAACCAAGATGGCGGGGTTAATGATAGCCGCAGCATGGATCCTATCGTTTATCTTGTGGGCTCCTGCCATCTTGTTCTGGCAGTTCATCGTTGGACAGCGAACAGTGCCACCTGGAGAATGTTATATTCAGGTACAGTATGTAAAACTTAATTGATCCTTTAGGCAGATCAAAAAAGCGCACTCAGTAGACTGTTAATAATTAATGTCCACCAGGCAGTCACTCGAACTGATTGCTGCCACTCTAGACAACTGAAATTTTAGCACATACGCCAAAAACATGCCTCGTCTATGTTTTTTGGAGCCACAGTGAATTGCACAAAGCAGATAGTTTTCCTGCTCACAGGCAATACAATATCATTATTAAGAATGAATGTATTTTTATGCCTTCACTCCCAAGATAGCTGTTGCCGGAGGCGTTATGTTTTCGGGTTGTCAAATTTGGCACAAACGTCATAATGGACTAAAGAATCCACTGATTAGATTTTGGTGGTCAAATGTCAAGGCCATTGTAACCTTGAGTATCTCTGATTCTTGTAAATGTAATATCTCAAGACAGCCTCCAGGGAATTTTCTTAAATTTGGCACTAACGTCCGTTTGGACTTAAGAATTAAGAAAAACTGATCAATGTTGGTGTTAAAGGTAACTGTGACCTTTTCCATCTCATTCTTGTGAACTTGGTATCTCAAGGACGCCTTGAAGGGATTTCTCTAATTTTGGCACCAACGTCCACTGGTAGTCAAAAGTCAAGGTCACTGTGAAGCCACAAAACATGCTTTTGGCCATTACTCAAGAATTCATACACTAATTTTGACAAATCTTCACACAAATATCCACGAGGGTAGAATGATGAAGTGATGATATTTAAATCCAAAAAAGTGAAAGGTCAGTATATCATCATAATGTTCTGCAAAACAGCGTCGCATCTCATGAATAGGAGAATGTTTATGCATTGATATGCAAAATATTACCCTTTCATATAATGCAGTGCAATACAACACTACTACAAAATTACAACCTCAAAGATTAACAGTTAAAGTAACACAGTGTCAACAAAACCTTGGATTGGACTGTACAAGTGTACCTAATAAATTGGTGCATATATGTAAACATTCTCTATAGATGATGGAAGGGTTTCTTTATTTTGTCTTTCTACAGTTCCTTTCAAACCCCGCTGTGACATTTGGGACGGCTATCGCAGCATTCTATCTTCCTGTCATTATTATGACAGTCCTGTACATCCACATTTCCCTGGCCTCCAGGAGCCGGGTCTCCAAACACAAACCAGAGAAGAAAGAGAAGAAAGGAATAAAGTAAGAGCATCGAAGGAATTAAAATAATGATGCATGTTACAGATTAGGTCTTGAGAGAATGGGAAACACAAAAGACACTTCTGACACCGCCTGTCTGTTTTTAAACTGAAATTCAAAATCAAGCAAGCTGTCTCCCTTGAGTTGTTTGGATTCAGATTCAGTTGTGACATGACTATTTTTGTGTGTGCTGGTAATCATTACATCTGCTCTTTGCCTAAACTTTACAACATCTAGAGAAGTAGATTTCAGTGTTCAAACAAAAGAGATAACAAGTGGGCCAATAAATCACAACTAGGCACCAGATGTGTTTCACCCACGCTATTAACATCAATTAATCATTTACATAACTTGCTGCAGTATGAATAACCACTATGAGCGTGCAATTTATTATTCACATCCATTCTTTGGTTGTATAATGTGCACATCTGTTTGTTTTTTTCAGAACTCCCAGCTTGATGAAGAGTCACCTGTTAAAGCAGAACAACAACAATGAGACCAGTCCTCAGGCCAGTCCCCGCTCCACTCCCAAACTCAGTCTGGACTCAACCACCACTGCGCTTGAGGCTGTGAAGAATGGCAGAGTGGAGGAACCCAAACCTGTCCTGCCACAGATTCAAGCACAGCCCAGTCCAGGACTCACACAGGTATGGACTCACATACCATTAACATCTCTGCTTATGTTTACTGTCTGTCTACCAGATGCTGATCAGCAGTGTGATAGCTTCATCTATCTATCTATCTATCTAGGAGGAAAAAGAGAGCTCCAATGATTCGTCCACAGCTTTTATTCCCCCCACAGAGCCAAAGGACAACACCAACAACGAGGTGATATCTGAGGTTGGTGTTCAAAATTTGGACAACTTTCCTTTTTTAATTTTTTTTGTCATTAATATGAACTAGAGACCATCTTGCGATGGGATCAATCCAGCCGTGATACACCGATCTGCGACTTAGGGCCTGTTTATACCGTTCCATTTATTTCTGAAAATGGGTATTTATCTTTACATGTTCACCTATCATTTACACGTAAGCGTCATTTTTCTCGACGAAAACGAGATCTGTTTCTATGGAGACGTGTGAACAGGATAGACAGAGATTTTGGAAAAACGATGACGTTGCAACCCAGTTCACGCATGCCCATTAGGCGCCCGGGAACCACAACAACAATGGCAGATATATGCCGGGTTGTTTACGTTTTGTTAGCATTTCTGGGACTACTTACGAGCTTAGCTGACGAATTTAGCACTGCTGCATCAAGGTTAAAATGTAGTTTATCATTGTTTTTATCACTAGCGCCAAGAGGAAGACAAATCACTGTGCATGCGCAGAACATTCTTCTATGGGACATATGGTGTATCGCCACCTACTGGCCTGGCATGCTAACTGCAGCAAAAAGCTGCCGTTTTTGCGTTTTCGTGTAAACAGGGATATCGTCACAACTGACTGTGTAAACCCGGAGTTTTTTTATACGGGATAAATAAAAATCTGTTTTAATTGTATCGGGTCCGCGTACTTCGTGGCCATTCATTTTTTGTTTCAAAATAACAAATTGAAACACAGAAAACCAACCATTATCCGTTTTTTGTTTTGAAATGACCAAATGATAAAGGAAAAAAACGATCCATCTCCCGTTTTTAATTTGATAATAAAGAAAAGAAAAGAAAAACGGAAAACGAATCGTTATCATTATCCAGTTTAATTTGGGAATTTAAAAAAAAAACCCTGATGGAAACTCCTTTCTCTATTTTTTGTTCATTTCTTCTCTGTGACCAGTAAGCTGCATTCATGTGGTGTATGAAATGTACATACAGAGCATGTACATTTCCTATAACTACTAGAATATTGCTTTATCTGACATGTTATGCTAATAAATATCTTTTCTAACTAATCTAGGTCACTCTACATGGACAGCAACTAATGGCATACCACATTACACATTACATGTCTGCAAAAAATGATACGCAATACGTAAATTAATAAAAAGTTTTATTACCATGGACAAAACGTTCCTTTTCGTCCAGCAGTTTTCTGTGAAAGTGACGTCAATTTCAGTCAAGTCGGTAGCTCCTGTTCCAAAATTATCTTCTAGCTGTTTTTCCAACATGAGCAGGTGTTCATGTGTATTTTCCCAGTTGGAAAGTCATTTTTCCGATTATTCCGACACCACATGAATGCAACTTACTGGTCACAGAGAAGAAACAAACAAAAAATAGAGAAAGGAGTTTCCCACAGGGTTTTTTTAAATTCCCAAATTAAATCAGATAATGGATAACGATTCGTTTTCTGTTTTTCTTTTCTTTATTATCAAGTAAAAAATGGGAGACGGATCGTTTTTTTTCCTTTTTCATTTGGTCATTTCAAAACAAAAGACAGATAATGGTTGGTTTTCCGTGTTTCAGTTTGTTATTTCGAAACAAAAAACGAATGGCCGCGAAGTACACAGACCATATCGGTATCCGTGTAAACAAGGCCTTAAAGCAAGGTCAGGCACCTAAAGCTGTTGGGGGCCAATGTCGCAACCGTGTCGCAAATGATAATAGTAAGTTCAGATGGTATACAAAGATAACAACAATTTTATTTGTACACATATATGTAGAAGCCGAGCTGCCATGGTTTTAATTATCTTATATTTCATACCTCCATTTCCTCAAGGTAGTCACGTATCATTGATTTCTTCAGAAAAGGCCATAACTCAAGAAATCATACACTTGATTATGACAAAATTCTGTACAAATCTGATAGGATACATTGAAAAGGTCAAAGATCAGCTTTACTGTGACATCCTGATATCTTCCAAAAACACTTTTCTTTCCATTACTCAGCACCATAACCCAGGAACAGTAGGAGAGACATTTGGTCAGGTTCTAAGTTGGAGACACTGATCAAATGTTTTGGGAAGTCCAATTTATCCAACATTGTCAAATTTCAAAGTTCACTGAGTTTCAGTGAGTTTTACATTGATAAACCTGGCATATGTAAGTGAGGAGGTAAAAGTAGACTGTATGTGATATATGTGTGATGATTGGTTGAGATGGGGAGGTGGACACACAAGAAGAGACAGAGGAACGACAGGGACAGGGGGAGGGTTTTACCATGTCCAAAGACTTCTTGCACATTGTATGACCAAGTATCTGATAAAATGATGTGACCAGATAGATAAGAATATTCAGATACATTTTTAAAGAAGGTTTTGAGGGTAACCAAATATTTCATACACCTTCACGCAGCCTACAACAGGTTGCAATGGCTGTTAAGGTTCCTAACAAAACTCTCTCGGCTTTGTTACAGGCAGCAACAAATCCCAACCCAGTTGCCACGACAACGGTCAATCCTGCAGCATCAAAGATGGGCTCAGCCTCGAGGTGGTCCAAGATAAAGATTGTAACGAAGCAGGCTGGGGATGAATGCATCACAGCCATAGAGATAGTCCCCCCTGTAGAGGGAGCCGAGAGGCATTCAATACCAATCAGCCGTCCTAGGACTGTGGCACGAAAGTTTGCAAGCATCGCTCGGAGCCAAGTGAAGAGGAAAAGACAGATGGCTGCCAGAGAAAAGAAAGTATGTTAATGTAACAGTGCATGGACATTGGGCATAATTTATAAACAATACAACACAATAATAACACAAAGGCACATATTAGTGATTATATTGTGAGTAAAATTATGTTTTTATGAATTGAATTAACTGGTCTGAGTGGGAGGAAGAGTAGGTGATACAAGCAAACTGCATGATGAGGCAGGTTACATCTTACATCAGCTTAATTCATCATGACAACAAACAAAGCTACAGTTATTGGTTTTGCATGGCAGCATACAGTATGTTGGCTTACGAGTGGGACTACCCAGTTTACCTGCATGTGAATGGTGCAGAGCAGCTGCAGTCACTTCACTTCATTAGTGTTCAGAATGACAGATGGCAATTGGAAGCATTCCTCTGAGCTTTTAAAACGACAAAACATGTATCTTAAACTGTTTCAGCACCACACAAAATTTCCACACTTGAAATAAAAAAAATATATTAGAAAACATTTCAGACAGACAAAATGAATATGTTAAGAGCCAAAGATCCTCAACCTTAGCCTCAACCTTGCTCCGTCACAGTGCTGTTTGCCAATTACTGATCATTGCATTCTGGATGATGGTAGGCTTCAATGACAAGAGGCCCTCGTCTAGGGGAGAACAGAATTCACAGATGTGAATTGTGTGTTTGTGTTAGCTTAGGCCTGTTTCTCATTTAAACACCATCCCTCATGGTACATCAAACACCACTTAACAGAGTCGAGATAAAAGATTCAATTTTATGACGAAAACTATGAAAACATCATTTGAAACATGAAAAATGAATCCAGCCAAACACTACCTGAATACAATCCTTTGTGCACCAGGGGTCTGATCTTGGACTGTTGTCGACGAAGCCCCACTCCTCCTGCAACGCTTGCCCGGTTAGCATGAGCATCATATTGAAGCCGCTCAGTTCTGTCGTTGAATTCATTCATTACCATTAGGTAACATTAGTTGTGTGATGCTAACAGTTAGCCCTACCACTGTTGTTCCCTGACACTCTTTTGCAAGGGTACTGTCGCTGTTTCCTGGTCTTAGCATTGCCCAGGAGGACTGTCATTGGTAGTGATGGCCAAATGAACCTTCATGAACCAGCAGTTGTATTTGCCACTAGATGGCACTCTTGGTGTAATGAAAAAGGCTCAAGGGATGGCAATGCAGTTTGGTTTCAACTAGCAACGGCCAAATGAAGCTTCATGAACCATTTCCTTTATTTTTTGGGTCCACTCTGGCACTCTTTGTTCAACAAAGTGTTGAAACCAAACTGCATTGCCATCCCTTGAGCCTTTTTCATTACACCAAGAGCGCCATCTAGTGGGTTCAGCAAATACAACTGCTGGTTCACGAAGCTTCATTTGGCCATCACTAGTTATTGGTATCGGGAAACAAAACAAGCCAGAGCGTTTTTTCCCCTGTAGTAGAATGGTAACATGGCAACACATTTTCATCCCGGCAACACATATTGTCGCTTTGACAGTGGCCTTTCACATCTACGAATTACATTGGGTATCCTTCTACATCTGCTGTTGATGTTTCATGATGCGCTACCAACACCGGGACATCAGCAAAAGCACATGATTAGGTTTAGGAAAAAACATTTTGGTTTGGCATTCGGGAAGTAAACACTAGGCTCGTGGGTGAAAGTCCAGGGTTTGTTGGACCCAGCCACCCTATAGGTACTTTCCTACTCCTTTTATTATGTTGTTACTGGCAGTGTTTTAACTTGTCGCTATCCAGGGGACTGCCATGCAGCTTCAGAAAATTTTTTAGGGATGCATGTGTGTATCCTCAGCAGGCATAAAGTGCCCACAATTCTCTGCACATGCTTTGCTCTAAGTGAAGGCCAGGCCTCTTCAATGATGCACACCTGAGCACTTGCTAGCCTGTTCCAATGTGTGACGGAGTCTTGCCTTGCCTCTGTAGGACCTGACTTGGAAGGACGCATCCTACCAAGGAAGCATCCTTGACTTTGACAAGCACCATATGTATTTGCATATGTTAATCTGATTTGCAGTGCACCGAGCTCTCAGAGCCACCGTACTAAATAACTGTGTGATGAGATTATAGTATAAGGCCTGTGGTGTTCATGCTGTTAGTAGGAGCCGCTACTGCCAAAAGGACAGAAACAGTGCTTTGACATGTTTTAGTCCAGGTATTAAATTATGTAGTGTTATTACATTGTTTCTCCTTATTGCCTTTCATCTATTTCAGTTTATCTTAGATCTGTAAACTAATCAACCTGCAAAGGTCTGAAAGTACTTGAGGTGATCTATCTTTTAGAGTAAACATCTCTACTTTTATTCTTTGTTAGTGGCATCACTGTTGTCTTATAATAAAGTGCTCACTTTTCAAGCCAGTAGGCATTTAAACTGCAAAATATCAGACACAATGTTCACGCTCATGGATTAACAATCCCAAACAAGTTTTAATTCTGAGCAAATTGGTTTTCACACCACAGTGAAATAAATGAAAACAAATAGCTGCCTGGAGAGGAGAAAAGATTATCAGTGCTCCCATTTACACTTCGTCTCTCTTTTCTTCCCGTTCTCTATAGGTGACCAAGACCATCTTTGCCATCCTGCTGGCTTTCATCATCACATGGACGCCGTATAACGTCATGGTGTTGATCTCAACCTTCTGCCAATCTTGTGTCCCCGACACTGTGTGGATTATTGGCTACTGGCTGTGTTATGTCAACTCGACCATCAACCCAGCTTGTTACGCACTGTGCAACGCCACATTTAAAAAGACATTCAAGAACCTGCTGCTGTGCCAGTATAAAAATATAGGTACAAGATGAGATGGGAGGAGCAGACTGAGGGCGGGATGGATGGGGAAGGGGTAAACCACTGCAAGGACAGGGTCCAGAGGAAGGGAGAGGAATGATTGTCGGAAGGTGAGCGGGAGAGGGCTGAAGGAGCTGGAGAGGAGAAATGGATGACAGGACTTAGTTGAAGAGACACCTACAGGGGATGAGCATCGTCTGCAAATGACTGCCAGTTATCCCTACAGGTACATACAGATCCAGAGTGAAATGTGAGTGTGAACAGTGATTCTTTAAGCCGCCCACCTTCCCCCGAGATCGAACTAATCACCGTGCTTCTATCTGATATGACGAATGTGTTTCCAGTATACACCACAGAAGTTCGGGAATAGCTTCAACACCCATTAAAAATGATGTGTCACTGCCATGGTAATTAAAACAGCCAATGAGGCAGCCATGGCAACAGCCATAATCACAGCTACAGTCTGCCACAATCACAGCGATGGCAGGAGCCAGTCAGAATAGTTAGTGCAGAGAATTATGTTGATCAGTTGGTTATCGTCAAATTAGCCACAATGATTCGGGCTTGCAGCTGAGCCAGCCACAGCTAAGGGCGTGCACAGTCACGCTCAAATCTTGTCAGAGGAAGCAATTACGAGTAAAACCCAACAATATTCAGACAGTTCTTACTCCCAACTCAAATACTGCCGTTTTGTCTGAGGACCTCGGCATCAGACAGACAGCAGAGGCACCCTTCAAGGCATCAGATGGCCTTACTAAAACCTTACTAAAAGTGTACGTCATCCAAGAGAGACAGTAACAACTAAAGGAATGGTTAAAGTTGCCATACTGAAATTTAAGGTGTGCTGATGGATTTACATCAGATCTGTGTGCTAGGTACCCCAACAGAGCAGGGACCAAAAATGGGGACAGTCAGGAAAAGTTCCACTGGTGTTTCACAGTGGAAACAGAAAAATGCGTATTGTATAGCATGCAATGCTAGTGACGTAGGCCACATGATGTATAGTACAGGAAGTAAATCTGAAAATGAAAGGTTTTACCTAAGTTGCACAGGGTTCCCACGCATTTTCATGGAATAAGTTTCAGTACTTAGTCCATGACCCATTATTCAATTTTTGTCTTGCCCAACTAGCCCATAATTGTAATATCAAAAATATAGCGTACATGTAGTTAGAGATGGAATGCAGGAAGAAAATGAAGAAATTGTACATGATGGAAAGCAAACATTGTCACACACTGACGCATATTAGAGCGACGTTACCTCAACAGCTTCAGAAAATCAATTGGTCGTTATGTTCCATTATGTGGAAAGTTATCCACAGACGACAAAATTCCATGACTTTTCCCAAACTTTTTAATGACTTTTACTGATTCCATGACTTTTCCAGGCCTTGAAAATGTGATTGTGAAATTCCATGACTTTTCCAGGTTTTCCATGATCTTGGAAACCCTGTTTCTAAGTTTATTTTCAAAACATCTATGCATGTAACAAGCAGAAACTTCACATTTCCTGTGAAAACGAAAGCGTATTTTAAAAAGACATCATAAAGTGGTGCAGGTACGATGTTTATTTGTAGGTCAACGTGGACGTTAGCATCACCCTGGTTCCCTTGACAAAAAGCCAATGGCATTCTTCTAGTGGGTTATTACAGAAAATAAGTTCTGTAGAAACCAAAAGTTGATGGCTTCACAATTCAACACCACTTTTATGATTTGAATAAAAACGTACTGCTACTTACCGTCACCAACACAGTGAGGCTGTAAAGCCATGGTCCACTTGATGATGTTTGTCTTTTTAAAGACACATAAAAGCTTCAAAATTTACGAGTGGGGTATTTAATGATGCATTTTATGTCGCAGAACAAAACGTGAAGGCATAAACCCATTGACTTCAAGACATGTGAACTGAAAGTTCTTGAATTCTAACTTATTTCCAGGTTTTAAAACTTATTACTGCACCACTCAATGTATATGTCCTTAAACGTCCAAAACTGACTCAAGAGGGTACCTAGCGTGTTATATTTTGATGGGTAGGTTCACTGACAAAGAGGTGGTATTTGATGAGTTGGGGTGAGAACATGTCATATCATTAACAATATTATGCCATACCATAATGTCTCAATCCCAATGTGATATTTTCATTTAAATATAAGGCTCATAGGGGGAAAAAAATTATGACTTGTGACGACATAAAATTTTATTTAATGTTATTATTTTCTATTAACTTTTAAAACTCGTATTCTAATAAATACCTCAAATGTAATGTAGAACCAATTATGTAATTGATTCTATGGATACCATTGACCATATATGCCATAAAACTAAAATAAGATCTACAAATATAGGAGAGCAGAGATGACTGGGAGACTGTGACTGATGACAAAGCAAAATGACATGGTGGAGGACACAGAAGATGGTAGTAGCAGTACAAGGCAGGAAAATATACATAATAATCGTTAAGTAGCATACCACACACTGTGGCAGCCATATTGTAGGTCTCTAGCTCATTTGCAACAATCATAGTTGTGCTTTTAAACATACAACTTTCGTACAACTTGACCACCTCAGTGACATCAGTGCTTTTGTCTATTGATTTTTCCCATTATAGAATGTGATCCTGGTGCATGAGCCATCAAATAATAATAATCTTGTATAACAACCATCAATGTCTTGTTTTTAATGCATTTAATTTCCATATTTCTTGCATGTCATAGAATGCTAGAAGTTAGAAATAGTGGTAGCTAAGCCTTGTTATCACTTTACTTCATATTAGTCGCCTGCAGTTTGTGATAGATAACAGTTGCTTGTTTAGTGGAAGGTGTTAATTATCCTATTGAAACACTGAAACCACATTCTAATGATTGAACTATTCTTAGAGCCTTACAGTGGTGAAACTGTCCCAACATCGACTCTTCACTGTTCCAGGAGTCCATAGGCACCAGGAAGGGTCAGGGAGGGTCACAGTAGGATGCTTCGGACGGTTCGAATGATGAATGTACACACAACTGTTCAAATGATATCCTAAGAATTAGCACCCCATGAGTGAAGTTACATCCTTAATGTAAACTTGTGTAATTAAAAATGCGGAGGTTAGGTGTAGGCATGTGGAGATGAGCTACTCCCAAATAGCTGGAAGAAATTAAATACCAAACAAAAGCTGGGTCCTCTGGTGGCTAGAACAAAATGCATGTCTAGCAGTTGGCTTGGTCTGTGCCAGGCAACCATTTGGCCTTTGTCCAGCTCAAAAACTGGCAACTCTTGAAAAGTTTGGTGTATTCTGAAGCAAAACATCTGAAGATTCATTCCATGGCCGATATGCTATACAGCAGGATGCGAATTAGTCCCCGTTTTGTTATCTTCACCGCTATTTTGACTGTAAGGGAGCTGGGAAGGACAATTCCACCAGGCACACTTGCACTGCATGCATAGTCTAGAGTGGCTGTAATCAGCTCTGGCTCTGAGTGCACTTTTCTAATCATATATTTCCTCTGTCCAAATGAAATGTTTGCCCAGATGGTGGCATTAAATGAAAGTGTAAGATGTCTACATAACAAGGCCTTATCCCCTTATGGACACAACTTGCATCCGATTTCATGGAGAGAAATTAGCTTCTGATATAGTAATTACGAATCTGGCAGCTCGGCCAGAGGAATGAGTCATGAAGCGGCTAAAACAAAGAGCGCTCATCCTGCGAGGAGTGCGGGTGTGTCACTTCATTTTGTAGCAAGCTCCCATTTAGACGTCGATATTTGAAATAGCCTTTTGATGTAAAAATGATGACACACTAAACTAACAAGTCTGCAGCACAGCAAGTTTATTATAATTGATTTTACTCTGATCTGTTCAGTGGCCTTAACAGTTTAATCTATTTTCCCTCCTTAATCGCTTGTTCTTAGTTTCAGTATAACACAAGCCAAGTTAAATACAGAGGATAAAAGGGAGCACAAGTGCAGCTTTATTATCTTTCGTCATACTGGCAATCCCAATTCATCCTCACGAATTAGCACCCTATCCGACACATTTTTATCCCCACCTCGTCACATATCGATGTTTGGTCATGGACTTTCCACTTCAACATGAGACATGCAAGGTACCCTGGGTGCGTTGGTTGTTGACATTCTGGGACGCCATGCAGTGCCAATTTTGACAGCTATTTTAGATTTAGTCTAAGGGCACATTCACACCAGGATAGTCCGGGAGACTCGGTTCGTTTGGGTGGGGAATGCTGAAAAATTACACCTTCATTTGGTTCGGTTCACTTTCACACTGCACTTCTTAAAGCGGACCAAACCGCCTGGACAACGTCACACAGTTACAACAGCTGCTCGTTTGGGGGCGATATTGCCCGAAACGACCACTGACCAGGAAGAAAGGATGAGGAAGAAGAAAACCCGGCTCATCAATTGGCCAGGACCGAAAATGGAAATCCATCCCCTTCAGCTGGCTTGGTCACAAAAAGACCAAACACCAAAATGCACTGCGCTCTATGTCACTTCCTCTCTTTGGTTCGCTTCCTCTCTTTGGTTCGTTGAATAGTCCGTTTGCACTGCCCATTGTAAGCAAACTGCACTAGGGTTCACTTGCAAGCGAACCGAGACCCCCAGTTTTCAAGGAATAGGGTTCGCTCGTTTGGTCGAATGAGCGTTCACACCACTCCAAATGAATCAAACTTTCCCTGGAAGCTGACCAGATTTCGTTTAGAGTGGACCAAATAGCGCCAGTGTGAATGCGTCCTTAGTCTCAGTCTTCAGATAAAAATGCTTATTCATTTTTTAATGCTGGAGTGGCATATTTTGAGACAGACAAAAAATGCTTTTTAAGGCAGATGGAGAGGAAAAGTTAATGGAATGTATTGTTGCTCTTTTCCACCGCTGCTGTCTCATTCAATTACTTCTCGTCCAGATTCATATCGGATCTGTGAAGGCTTCTTCTGTTTAATAATGTTATAGACTTATAGCATGTTACTGTTACCTATCGTCTTTGTGCCTTGTGGTGCATAAGGCCTTTAGTTGTAGAGAAGTACAGGTAGAGAATGAAGGAATGCAATGCTACAGAGAAAACATCTGGATGGGTGGAAATAACGGAGAGGGTGAAAGAGGGAATTAAGGAAAAATAATGATGAGCGTGTGGAAGAAAATTAGGCCACATTGGGAGGAGAATAGAGGAAGTTCCTCATTAAGTCCTGGGCTTGGATTCCCGATGCTCATACTGGAGATACAGTCAGACAGACAATTAGACAGACAGACTAAAAAACACAATAATCATCTAAAATCAGGATACAAGCATAAAATCCTGTCCTTCAGGACCATCTCATTAGCATTCAGAATTCTTCACTTCTCATTAACTGTTGGATCGGCTCAGTGATACTGCTATCCTTATGATATTTTACAATGACTCTTACTCTTTGTGAGAAAGAATGCCAGCTGTTAGTTATTCAGTGGTTTGTATAAATGAGGGGATGTCAGGTCAGAATTCGGTGCAAGCTTTAGATTGAGGTCAAACATTATTCATGCCCAACAAGGATTTGTACTTGGCCCGTTTCAAAAGCATCCGAGAAGTGAAACCAGTCAGCTATGGTGCTTAAATATCCTCCATGGCTCAGCAGGACTGGGGCAGGCTTTCTGTCTGCTTATTATGTGAATGTGTCAGCTTAGCATGGCTCAGAAGCTTGTCATGACCTAATCAAGCACCTATTACCCGCAGTGAAGAGAAAAAGGATACAAAAATAAAACCAAGGCAAATGCCGGCCAGGGGTGTAATGTGGGGGCGATGGCCACATCCCTACTTCCTTCCCCGTACTACCCTATTTCCAGCCCACCTGGTGAACCACGCTTGTCTTTAAACTCGGCCATCATGTGATCCAGCACATTCTCACTCCCAACTTGTCAAATACCGGCACTTTTTCAGTGATGTCTGCATCAGATAATGACACACAGAGGCACCTTTCACAGCGGTATAATAAGCACCAGGGATC